GCGTACAGCAGGGCGTCGTAGGGAATGAACACGTAACCATTGGAAACCATCCCCATCTCCAGGGCGGTCAGCAGTAGCTCCCTCTGATCGTCTCCACCAATCAGGACAGAGCTCATGCACATGATGACCACTGAAGGTGAAATAAAAAGTTCTCTGATCTGATGTGTTCAGGTCAGGGATGGCAGCTTAACGATCATCTCTTAGACCTGACCTTTGACCTTGTCGGCTTCTCTGATTTCCTTCAGTGCCTCCCGAGCCCTGCCTTTGCTGCCTGGTTCCATGGTAACCACCGGCCCAATCGGCAAACCCATAGCCCGGAGCGCAGAGGCCACTTCCTGTCCGGTGCTTTCCCAAAGGTCGGAGGCAGCTACACAACAGAGGAGAAGGGATGGAGAAAGGAAACACTGATGAACAATTAAGACAACAAAGACGATCACAATATAAACAAACTGCCGGGGAGTAAGTATCCTGTGTTTACGCAAATGTTGGGTAAAAGCTGTCAGCCAGACCTCGTGCAGGTTCACAAACGGAACAGTGTGAGGAACAGAGTGAGGAACAGAGTGAGGAACAGTGTGAGGAACGCTGTGAGGAACAGCGTGAGGAAAGCTGTGAGGAACAGTGTGAGGAACAGTGAGAGGAACAGTGTGAGGAACAGTGTGAGGAACAGTGAGAGGAACAGTGTGAGGAACAGTGTGAGGAACAGTGAGAGGAACAGCGTGAGGAACAGCGTGAGGAACAGTGTGAGGAACAGTGAGAGGAACAGCGTGAGGAACGCTGTGAGGAACAGTGTGAGGAACAGTGAGAGGAACAGTGAGAGGAACAGTGTGAGGAACAGTGAGAGGAACAGCATGAGGAACAGCGTGAGGAACGCTGTGAGGAACAGTGTGAGGAACAGCGTGAGGAACAGTGAGAGGAACAGCGTGAGGAACAGCGTGAGGAACAGTGAGAGGAACAGCGTGAGGAACAGTGTGAGGAACAGTGTGAGGAACAGTGAGAGGAACAGCGTGAGGAACAGCGTGAGGAACAGCGAGAGGAACAGTGTGAGGAACAGTGTGAGGAACGCTGTGAGGAACAGTGTGAGGAACAGTGAGAGGAACAGTGTGAGGAACAGTGTGAGGAACAGTGAGAGGAACAGTGTGAGGAACGCTGTGACGAACAGTGTGAGGAACGCTGTGACGAACAGTGAAGCAGGAACAGTGTGAGGAACAGTG